AATCCACAATCCTCTTTCCACTCAAACCCTGCAACGTCCTTAACACCCCCACCCCACCCCCCAACCAAAAAATAAGAAAGAAAAAAGTAAAAAAAGTTAAAAAACCTACATCTTCCGAGTCCTTTTTCGCCCCTACCCTCCCTCTTTCTCTTCCTCACACCCTCCCCCTTCCCTTCCTCTCCCCTCCCCTCCCTTCTTCCTTCCCTCCTCTCCTTCTCCCTCCACCCCCTTTTCCCTCCCTCTCCCCTCCCCTTCCCTTCCCTCTCTCCCTGTCTCACCCTCCCTCCACCCCCTTATCCCTCCCTCCTTCCCTCCCTCCCTCCCTTACCCTAATCCCCCCCATTCCCTCCCTTCCTCCCCGCCCCCCTCCCTGAAAACCTGGGCGTGGCCTCGTAGATGTCGCCGCTGAGGGATACGATGCCGTTAAGCGCTGATCACCGTGACGTCACAAGAGGCAATTTAGACGATCAATTTTCAAAGTCCGCGGGAAGTCAATTCGACGCTGAGGGTAACGGGAGCAATTTATTTTTTGAGTGTTTATTTTTCTTTTAAAGGATGGAAATTTGGTGCTTTTATTATTGTTATTATTATTATTATTATTATTGTTAGTATTATTATTATTATCATTATTATTGTTATTATTATTATTATTATTATTAATATTATTATCATTTTAAGTTGTAGTTTTGTTTTGTTTTGCGTGGGTAGTTTATTTTGTTCTTAAGGTAGGAAAGTTTTTTTTATTTTTTTAAGTTTGCAGTTTTGATGTTTTTAGGGTAATTTTTAGAAGCTGCGTTTTTCTTTCCTATTTTTTGCATGGGTAATTTTATTTTTTAGTGTGTGTATTTCTAGAAAGGTTAAAAAGATGGTGTTTTTTTTTCTTTTTTAATTTCAAGTTTGTAGTTTTACAGCGTTTTTAAAGGATCAAGCTATAGTGGTTTTAACCCTTTAATATTTTTTGTTAAAAAAGGTTAAAAATAGCGTTTATTTTAAAGAAATGAAACGCATGAAAAAATAAAAAAAATGTCTACATGTGTAATATATATCGGTCATATACGGTTTCCTTAACATATTAATTAATTCGTTTTTCATTAATTTATTTATTCGACTTTTGACATTATATATTCATTTACCCATTTAGCTATCGATTTATTAATTTATCTGTCTATCTATCTACAGATATCTATTTATTCATATTTATATATCTATTTATCAACTATTTAGATGTATAAGGCATCCATACACTTATATATATATATTAATTAATTCATTCATCTATGTGTCTATCTGTTCATATATTTATCTATTCTTCTGTCTATTCATTCATTCATAAACTTGTTATATGATTATTTGGATGATTTCAAAGGTCAAGTGTTTCAAATAAAAATTATTCTCCACTTTTCGCTATTATTTTCTCGTTAAAAAAAATTAGTCGAACTAAAAATCTCGTAAAAATCAAATTCTAGTAAATGAAAATCTAAAAATCTCGTAAAAAAATGAATCGATTTTTCTTTCTTTCTTTTTCTTTTTGGCGAAATTAACGCGAAGTTTTATTGTCAGTTTTATATCTGCGTCTAAGTTGTTTTCCCGGTCTTATGCCGCTGAATTACCTTGTATGCTTTAAGTATCGGTTAATTCGATTATGTAATTTTCTCGGCGTCTCTGTCTCTTCCATCTTTCTTTATCACTCCGTCTCTCCCTTTTTCCTCTCACCCTCTCTTTCTTTCTTTTTTCCTTCTTCCAAACGCCTTCCCCTTCGCTCTCTCTCCTTCCTTTTCATTCTCTTCTTCCTCCCTTCCTCCCTCCTTCCCTCTCTCTCTCACCCTCCCTTTCTCCTTCCCTCCCTCCCTCCTTCCTTCCCTCCCCCCTGTCTCTCCTCTCCCTGTCTCTCACCCTCCCTGCTTCCCTCCCTCCTTCCCTCTCTCCCTGTCTCTCCCGCCCTCTCTTCCTCCTTCCCTCTACCCTCCCTCCCTCCCTGCTTCCCTACCTCCCTCCCTCCTTCCCTCCTTCCCTCTCTCTCATCCTCCCTCTCTACTTCCCTCTCTCCCTGTCTATCCCTCCATCCCCCTCTCTCCCCCTCCCTCTCTCCCTCCCTCCCTCCTTCCTTCTCTCCCTGTCTCTCTTCCCCCCTCCCTCCTTCCCTCCCTTCCTCCCTCCCTTCTTCCCTCCCTTCCTCCTTCCCTCCCTCCCTCTCACTGTCTTCCCCTCCTATCATTTAAGCTTCATCCCTCCCTAAGCTGCGCCACACGAGCTCAAAGTAATTCAAAGTAAGGGTATACTTGCGAAGACTTAGTCTCTCGGATTCCCTTCTTATATCTTTGAGTTTGGGATTCTGAAGGAGAGAGGGAAAGAGGGAGAAGGAGAGGAAGAGGGAGAGAGGGAGAAGGAGAGGAGGAGGGAGAGGAAGAGAGAAGGAAGGAAGAGTGAGAGAGAAAGCAGAGAGAAGAGGGATAGATAGAAAGACACACATACTCACACACACACACACACACACACACACACACACACACACACACACACACACACACACACACACACACACATATATATATATGTATATTAATAAATATTTATGTATATATATATATATATATATATATATACATATATATATATATATATATATATATATATATATATATATATATATATATATATATATATATATATATATTCACACACACACACGCACATATATACATATATAGGGAGAAAGAACGAATAATCTGACAACATCAACCTTCAATCGAGATTCCATATTTCCAGAATTATCCATAACCTTTCGTAAAAGTTTAATTTAATGATCTTTCAAAAAAACATAAACTCATGAAGGGTTATCATACTGCTTGCTGCCTGACTCAACCTCCTGACTCAACCTCCTGACTCAACATACTCAACGAAGTCATCATTGTAAAACTATAACTCTAAACAGTTTGATGACGTCATGCAGGCCACTGGGATGACTTAGATTCTTCTCAAGCAAGTCGTCTGTCATCCCGTATGTACTGTAGAAATTCCTCTGAAAAAGAGATGAATTTAAAGATTAGAAAAATGTTGGGTAGAAACGCAAAAAGCGAAGGAAATATTTTTGGGAAGATATTATGAAAATAAGGGAAAATATTTATTACTCGTATCAGATAGCATTAATTGTTATCATTAGTAACTACTATCGTTACTATTACTACTACTGCTATTACTACTAATACTACTATTACCACAACTACCACTGCTACTACTACTGTTACTATTACAAGTTCTATCATCATTAATACTACTGCTACTACTACTGCTACTACTATTATTGTTATTGATACTACTACTACTACTACTACTACTACTATTGCTATTATTGTTACTACTTCTACTACTGTTACTTTTACTACTACTACTATTATTACTACTACTGCTACTATTACTACTACTTATAATAATAACAATGATAAATGATGATGTTGGTTTTAACAATAACCTAAATAACAATAATGATAACAATGACATCAATAATAATGATTCTACTACTATTGATACCAATAACAATAACAACGTTAACAATCATAATAATGACCATAATAATAACAGCATTAAAGATAATATCTATAACTTCAACAACAACAAAATAATTATAATAAACTTTATCATTATCATCACCATATCTTTCATTACCATATTCACCATCAATAATTATTTTCATCAATTTTAAATGCTCCATACAAGAACATACCTATAATAATATTAATGGCAACAATCATAATATTAGGAATATCATTTACATCAATAATAATTGTGCATAATAATACATCCATTTTGAATAATGTTGACTACAATAATGGGGTAAATGATAATAATAACAGGAACCAAAAATATTAATGTTTTTTTATGGTAATTTATGATTTATTTGTTTTATAATGGAACATAGTGATGATTTATTTATTGATTCCGTAGGAAGAAAAGGAAGGAAGATAAAAGAAAAAAGAGAAAAAAAGAAGAAGAAGAAAATAGAAAAGAAAATAGAAAAGGAAGAAAAAGAAGAAAAGGAAGGAAAAAAAAAGGAAAAAAAAGAGAAGAAAAAGAAGAAGAAGAAAAATAAATATATATAAGAAAATAAAAACATTTGTGATTATAATGATAATAATGATGATAATAATGATTACTTTTTTTTTTACGTTTATCTGTTTTCGATTTATATATTTTCTTTCTTTCTTTCTTTCTTTCTTTTTTTCTTTCTTTATTGAACGGCGTGATAAGGAAAATGTGACATAACGTTAAGAAGACGAAGAAACAGAGGGAGAAGGAAGAGGAGGAAGAGACAGAGATAACGAATAATCAGGGGAAGGAGGGAGAGAGAAAGAGAAAGAAAAAAGAAAGAGAAAGAGAAAAAGGGAAAAAAAAATCGATTAGGACATAAAAAAAGTAAACACCTAAACACACAACATAAAACAAACAAACAAACAAACAAAAATATGGACAGATTTTGTAAACTTAAATAAACCGAACAATATTTTTCGTTTTAATTCCCTGTTTTGTCTTAATGTTCAATCAATCTTTAAATAAACGAATTCATCTTTTAAATACAATAAATAAAAATCTTAATATATTTGAATAATTCAAATCATCTTTAATTATTGTTGTTGTTGATACACAGGCATTGCAGTATTAAATATTATGTTGATTAATTAGATACCGTTTTAAGATAATTGCAGGAGAGTTGCAAAGCTGTTTGTTTTAATCTGTGCTTAGAAAAATATCTTTGTGATTAAATGGCATTAAATACTTTTCTTCATCATGATAATGAAAAAAAAAAAATCATTCACAATAAGAAAATGATACAAAAAAGCATATCAAGTTCTAATCCCGTCCCCTCAAAAAAGAAAAAGAAAAAAAAAAAGAAAAAAAAAAAAGGAAAGAAGAAAGAAAAAAGAAAGAAAGAAAGGAATACACACACACACACACACACACACACACACATACACATACACACACACACACACAAACACACAAAC